GCGTGGATGGCTAGATATTAACACTTGCAGTCCCCCCCCCCTCCCACCCCCCCCACTGCCTCTGCCTTTTAAATGTCATCTCCTCCAGGTGCCCTGAGTGAACGTGTCTCTGCCCATTTTGACAGAAAGGCAGGCTAACTTAAAGGACCTGGGACTCCTCGAAAGCCCCATCATTTGATCTCGGGCCAAATCAAGATGAGATCAGAATGTTTTTCTGCATAATTGGGAGGTTGGCGTGTTTGATGTCGATTTGCTCTGCTGAAGAAGCCATTGATGAAATATGAATGGGCTCTTGGTGTGCTCTTGTGAGGTTTCCCCATTAGCCCACCAGTACAGTGATTACTGGTTTTTGACCTCAAGCGAAAATGTTGGAAGATTGATGAGATGCTGCTCATATTTGCTTCCTTAATGGACTCGCTGAACTTTGAACGGTGACGGATCACACTGAGCCAATAAGGACAAGAGTCAGTCTATTTGATGCAAATGTTTTAAGGGTTGAAGTTACGGGGGCGTTATCGTGGCAAAAATGATACGATGTATCCTTATCATATCTGGAAGGGTTCTCTGTAGGTAGATGATTGTTAGCAACCTACAGATGACTGTGATTCAACTCAAATACTGAATATGCAAAATACTTCAGTGTGAAACGTGATGAAAAAACACTTGTTAAAGTGGTAAACCAACCACCAAAGGATGATGATGTCGGGACTTGTTATGATATGAAACTTGTCTAATTCTTGCTGTAGATCTAATTGATTGTCCCCAGGCCTGTGTCGGCCCTGGGCAAATGTCTGGCCCGGGGCTTTGCTGCTCTCCCTCAGTTGACGGTGCTCGTCTTCCTCATGGGGAATGTAGCTGTGGAATAGCATGGGGTGGGGATCAGGGATGAGAAGGATGCCGGCGTGTGTCAGGGGTGGATTCGTTTTCAGGGGCATCCGATCTGCCCTGTTACCCTCCGGTTTAACCCCCCCCCCCCTCGTACCCATCACTCCGTAGGGGATTAGCAGGTTGTTTTTGAGGCGGCCCCCAGACCCATTCCACCATTATAACCATGGTTTTCTAAAGCGTCAAGCCCCCGATGTAAGGGCAGAGGGTGGGGGTGGGGGCGTGGTGAAGTGAAGCTTACCAGCTTGTAATTGCTTCCTCTCCTGCCGCCTCATCTCCATCTGCAGAGATAGCGTGCCCCTTCTCCTCTGCGTCTGCACACAAATTTGCACTTCGTCCTCCAGCGCTATTGTTCAGCAGTGAAGGAGGCTGTCGAACGCTGCCTCCTGACTGAACAGATGTAGAAAAATAAAATAAAAAATAGAAAGCGGGAAGAGTTAATCACCCAGCTTACTGCTACACACAAGCTGTTCCCCGGTGTGTGCTGCGTCGAAGGGTTAAATAAATCTACACGGACGTGTGGCATATGACTGGCTGACTGACTGTTTTATTCATGAATCATTCACTCGGACAACAATAGCAGTTGGGAAACCATAACACGGCCTGGCTGGTGAAGGGAAATGGAAGAGAGCAATTGAGGGTTCATTATTTTATCCCTAATTGCCCTTTTTGCAGGTTGTCTATTACGAAAAAGAAGAAAACAAGCCAAGCAAAAAAAAAACTGTAGATGCAGGAATTTGGAAGATTGGACTTCACTTTTGGGATGATGAAAATGAAGCACTTTTTCATTTCTTTCAAACTTCTGGGGATTTTCTTTTTCTTTTCCACCAGTAAATCTCTTTGGAGATGGTGTCACAAACAAACCAGAACTGAGACAAACAAACCAGTACGCTGTAATTTTCTGTCCACATCTATGTATAATGTTGAGACACTCAGCTGTGGGGATCTTCCCTTTATTTCCGTTACAGTGGCGAGCATAAGAAACTGCTAGACGATGATTTTGGTCAAAGGTGACCAAGTTATATCTATATCAAATGATGTCAACATGGGAAGTAATTGATGCTCTGTTGGTTTGTACATTTCTAACTTTCGTATTTTCTTAGTTTGGTGACACATTTTCTTTGCTTCTAATAATGTTTTATTCAATGAAATGACAAAAAAGGAATCCAGGGAGAACATTTCTAAATCGTTTTTTAAAATAAGATGCAAAAACTGAAGTCACAGGAGTGACCAGACAAACAGAGCAATCATGTGGGTTTTGGTAATGAGATGTTTGTGAAAAATGGTGTTCAGCTTGGCTGTGACCCCCCGAGTCCTTCACATCAGTTTGTGATCCCTGCGTCAACGAGGTTAATGGGAAATATCCGATTAGGAATTCGGCAGTTTAACTGATCAGGAGAGTTGCTGCTGTGAAGGAGTCGAATGGTGAATATTTTTGACATCTGTGTGGGCAACGGGAGAAAATGACTGACACGTCATTTTCATAAGTAGAGGGTGTCTGCCGGTGGCAGCGACCATGATTGGTGGGTAGAAAGACTGGTTGTGTGACATGATACTTGTTTTCTGCCTGCTATGGT